GGGCCCCTGGGCGGGGCGAGCGGAGGGTGGCGGCTGCGTGGGCCTCCTGGCACGCCCCAACCCTGCCTCCCGGCAGATCTCCCTGCGGCAGGGCATGCAGGTGGACCCCGGCGCCCTGGCTGCGCTCTGCGAGAAGACCGACCGGGACATCCGGGCCTGCATAAACACCCTGCAGGTGGGCGGCTGCGGTGGGCGGGGCCGCGCGCCGGTGGGCGGGGCCGACTGGGAGGCTGGCCACCCACCCCCACCTTCTGCGCCCAGTTCCTGCACAGGCGAGGTCAGCGGGACCTCAGCGTGCAGGCCGTCCAGGCGACCCACGTTGGCCTCAAGGACCAGCGCAAGGGGCTCTTCTCGGTGTGGCAGGAGGTCTTCCAGCTGCCCCGGGCCCACAGGTAGGCGGGCGGGGGTGGCCGCCCTGGGCCTGCTGCCCTGCCCCACCCCATCCCCCCACAGCCCCCAGGGTCCTGAGAGTGTCACCCGGGAGAGGGGCGGGAGCCACAGAGTCAGCCTCCAGTCTCGGCCTCTGCAGGCGACAGGACGCGCCCCCGCCTGCCCACACACTCCTGACGGGGGACGGGCACCCAGTCTCCGGGCCCTATGGCGTCCAGCCACCCCTGACCATGGCCTCCCAGCGGTTCCTCCATGTCCTGCACGTGGCCACGTCTGCCGGCGAGCATGAGAGGGTGGCTCAGGTACCCGGGAGCTCTGGCCTGGTGGGGCAGAGGCTGTGTCCACCTCTGGGCACTGGGCGGCCGGCAGCCCCCAGCTGTGTGGGGGCCCTCTGTGGGCGGGGCCGCGGAGGCCTGAGTAGGGGTTGCTGGAGGCAGGGGTGCATGGCGCCTGGGGTCAGCGAGCTTGTCCCATTCCAGGAGATTTGGATTAGGGACGGGGATCAGTGCAAATCCCGGATTCCAGTGGACAGATGTGCCGGGGGTGGGGTGTGGGGGGGGTCGGGCAGCTGAGGGCCGAGCCCTGGGCCTCCCGCCTGGAGGGGCCTGTGGCCTTGGACCCAGCGAAGCTGCCCGGCCGGGCTCAGGGCTGCTGCCCGCAGGGCCTGTTTGACAACTTCCTGCGGCTGCGGCTGCGGGACTCGGGCCTGGGCGCCGTGTGCGCCGCCCTCGACTGGCTGGCCTTCGACGACCTGCTGCAGCGCGCCGCCCTCCAGGGCCAGCGCTTCCAGCTGCTGCGCTACGGGCCCTTCCTGCCCGCCGCCTTCCACGTGCTCCTAGCCACCAGCCGAGTGCCCAGGCTCAACTTCCCCAGCAGCCAGCAGGAGGTGCGTGCGCCGGCCCCGCCCCGCCTGCTAGCCCCGCCCCGCCTGCTAACCCCACCCGCTAGCCCCGCCCGCCGGCCCCGCCCCACGCCCCCGGCTTGACTCCTCCAGGCCCAGGGCCGGACACAGCGGACGCAGAACCTCATTCAGACGCTGGTGTCGGGCATTGCGCCGGCCACCCGCAGCCGGGCTGCGCCCCAGGCCCTCGTGCTGGACGCCCTCTGCCTGCTGCTGGACATCGTTGCACCTAAGCTGCGCCCGGTGAGCACCTCCCCGGGCGGCGGCGGGTGGGGTTGGGGTGCGGCCCCGCGCAGCGGCCTGCTCACCCCGCCCGCCCGCTGGCCCAGGTCAGCACGCAGCTGTACAGCGCGCGGGAGAAGCAGCAGCTGGCCAGCCTCGTGGGCACCATGTTGGCCTACAGCCTGACCTACCGCCAGGAGCGCGCGCCCGACGGGCAGTACGTCTACCGGCTGGAGCCGTGAGTGCGCCGCCCCACCTGCCTGCGCGGCCCGGCGCGCCTGCCACCTCACGGGGCCACGGGCGCTTGGGGAGCGGAGGGCCCATGCCGGCTGGCGGACCCGTGCTGTGTGCGCGCAGGGACGTGGAGGCCGTGTGCCGGTTCCCCGAGCTGCCGGCCCGCAGGCCCCTCACCTACCAGGCCAAGCAGCTCATCGCCCGCGAGATCGAGCTGGAGCGGATGCGGCGGGCCGAGGCCCTGGCCGGGCGCGGGCCCTGTCCCCAGGTGAGCCCCGGGCCGTGCGGGGCGGGGCCCAGCTGCCCCTGCCGGGCTGTGCCCTCACCCCCCCCCTCACAGGTGGCTGAGTTGCCCCCGGGGTGCCCCGAGGAGGAGGGGGCTCGGGCCCCCGCCCAGCGAGGCCAGGAGCAGCCGCGGCCGCGTGTCCTGAAGCAGGCGGCCAGGGAGGAACAGGTGCTGGCCCGTCGGTGTCTGGTGTCCGCGCGCGGGGGCCGTGGTGGGGAGTGCCCCCGGGACTGTCCCCCCAGCCTGACCGGCCGCCTCCCCTCAGCCCGAGAGGGACTTCTTCGGGCGTGTGGTGGTCAGGAGAGCGGCGGCCTTAAGTGCAGGTCTGTGGGGCGGGC